AAGCCGGGGTAGTTCTGGTCCTATACAGCCAACTCCAGAGGGCTGGACGAGGGATGTAGTTCAGTTGATAGAGGGCTTGCCAAGCATGCAGTCCTGGGCTCAACCCCCAACACTGTGTGCACCAGGCAGCGGGCGGAGCAAGACTCCAAAACCATCCTCCTTAGCCACATAACAAGTTTGAGGCCAGCCTGGGCTATATGAAACATGGTCAAAAAAGAGATCCAACGCTCCAACTCAACTGAGCTGGCCCACTTCTCACGCACCTTTCGTCTCTTTTCTTGTCATGACAGGAATGTTCTCAGAGCATATGTATCTCGTAAGAACCTTCTGGCAAGCTGTTGCTCGCAGGCTGCTGAGTGGAGGCCAGAGCAGCTTGGATTTGGAACTTGTTCTCAAAGCTCTTGAGCGTTAAGCTCTAGTTATTTCTGAGTAACCCTGAAGGGCCCTCCACTCTTGGGTGGGTTCCAACCTGGACCGTTCTCCTCCCAGACCCTTCTCTTCCAGTCTGGCAGGTGTTGGTTTGAAAAACATTGGAGTTTGGGGTAAATTATTTGCTCATAAAATGGGGGGATCACCCTTACCTCACCTGATTCAGCCCTCCCTTAGACAAGGTCATTATCAGGGAACAGCCAAGCCAGACCGCCATGTGGGAATGTCAAAGAGACAGAATTAGTAACAGTCTATCTTATTAACAGCCTGGCCTTCCACCATCGATCACATCAGACGCGCCGCTGCACATACAGTCCTGATTATGTGCAGGGAGCAAGGCTCAGCAGAGCTCAAAAAGCCACTTAAATCTACGCAGCAGTGACTCCTTCAAGAGTCCGAAATGTCCCCTAAACTAATAACCTCTGACAAAGCACTGCCAGGGAAAATTCCTTGCGGATTTGAGATTTTCACTCTCTTAAGCTCCTAATTCAATAAAGCGAGCACTCCTTGCAACAAATTAAATACTTTTATGAAAGCGACCCCTCCCCCACTCTCTTTGATGCATGATTAGCCCCCTAATGCTAGGGCATGGGGTCTGTAAGAGATGCCTTCAGTTGTCTTCTGTTACTACACAGCGGCCCAGAATCTACTGGAATTTGCTGATTCTTTGATTCTGGAAACTTCTAAGACTCCTGGCTTCCCTGACATGGGTCCTACAGTCTGTTAGCTGGGGGGGATGTTAGCCATTCCTGAGATGGGGTGACAAATCCTAAGCAGGCCTGACTAAGCGTGCCTACTTTTGTCTTTTTGGTTGTTTGGTTTTGGTTGATTGGTTGTTTTGGGGGTTTTTTGTTTGTTTGTTTGTTTACTTGCTTGCTTTAAATTGTTGGTTTTGGTGTTTTTTGTTGTTTTGGTTTTGTTTTGTTTTGTTTTGTTTTGTTTTGTTTTGTTTTGTTTTGTTTTGTTTT